TCTGCAAGCTGTGACATCTTACATGTTTATTAGTTGTAACTGATTGAACTTGTGTAATTGCACTGCTGGGACTTTAACATTAGCTTTTTCTCTCTTTCACATCAAACTTTTGCTCATTTATTAACTGTTCAGCTCATTTTGTACTCCAGGTAATTGTTTGGGGGGATGTGGGGTGTCTTCATGGGGAAGAGATAATACTGCACTGTATATACTGTATCTAGTCCCACAGAGAATTTAATGCGCGAAGGCAGGATTGGAGATGATGCTGACAGAGTTTGACTGTGTCAGTGGAGCAGAAATGGAGCCCAAGAGAAGCAGCTCTGCAGGACACAGGATATTAACTTAGGTGTAGCAAAGAGGTATAGGGAAATGTTTATGAAGTAGGTCAACTCTCTCTGGGAAAATAAAGATGGATGAGGAGCAAACACATCAGCAGTAGGAAGCATTAAGATGTGCTGTGGTACAGGTCAGTAGATAGAAAGATATAAAGTTTTTTGGGGGGAGCCAAAGTTTAATAAGTTCGAAAATAAGTAGGTGATGTCCCTAATTTTCCTTTAGCTGCACACCCAAGCATTATGAGGCCTGTTTAATCATGTTTGCCTGTCCTCACAAGTATGAGATTGAATTTTAAACACTACAAATGATGTGCAAACTACCCAAACTGTTCTGATAGTACCAAACATGACTGATATTTCCGTCTCAGTATTTGCATGTGACCTGCCTTCTTTTGAACACACCAAAGTGCAGAGCCTCACCATCATATGTTAGTGGTCTGATCACTCCTTTTTTAAACCATAGAAAATAAATCAAACTGTAAAAAGAGGTAGTGTTGGACCAATGGTAGAATTCAGTAGGTAATCATGAGCAGTTTTGGCTGTACTCCTTCACACTAGGACTGTCCCGAATACCATTTTAGGGGCTTCAAAGCTTTAGTGATAATTACATGCAAATATTCTAAGCCTTTACAGGACCTGATGGGACCTTGAATACTCATCAAATATATTCAGAAATGCTAATTAATCACCCAAACCCTAGCCGACTTTGGTAATATTAGCACCGCTATGTCTGTGTCAGAGAGAGTGATAGAGAGAAGTAAGAGAAGGTGGACTATTGCAAGCAATGTTTCTGTAAGTCATTAATAACTCAGGCCTCATCGGTAGATGCAAAGCAAGTGCTTCACTACAGTTGCTAGCCACGGATAACCAGCTGCAATTTGTCTCACCTATTCCTTTCCTGCGTCAGACAGCCAATTTAATGTTTGAACTGCGGGTCGATGACCTTGCTGAGAACACTGGCCTCATTTGTCACCTCCTTTCAGTTTTCTTCACCATTCTAGTGGTGAAAAAACAAAACAAAAATTGAAGCATTCGCATACTGATGTAGATGTTGATTACCATGGCAATGATACAAGCGTCAAAGTTTCAAAGCATTCAGGTCAGCCTGACTTTACATCTACAAAACAGATTAGAATCCACCGTAACATAACAAAGAGATCAACAGAGGGAGAGAAAATAGTAAATGTGAGTCTCAGGAGAAGTTTAAGTCAGTTATTTTACAGCCTTGATTATCCTCATACGAGTCGGACCTCCGGGATTAAAAAATGAAACCAACACTGAAATACCAAAAACCACAGTTCCTCTAATGGCCACTTGAGGATGGCTCCAGAAGCAGATCAATCCCTGTAGACCCCCATCTTTAAATGTCCAACTTTGCAGCAAAAATTAACATGTTTACAGCCTGCTGCAAAATACGGTTTTGGTCTTCAACATTTATGACAACTGTATGGGGGTGAATTTGTATGTAACTCACCACTAACATTTAGGCCTAGTCCACACGAGCACGGGTATTTTTAAAACCGAACTTTGTTGGCCTCCAGTTTTTAAAAAATCTGCGTCCATACGAGCGCAAATTCCACTATCAAGCAATGTAATACACATGCCAAAGCAGTAGGTGGCGATATAACTCCTAACTGTAAGGCCATTGTAGCCAATCAGAAGGCAGTAAAAAAACGTCATGACTGTAAAAACAACAACAAGCGTACTAGGCTTGCGATTGGACGAATATATCAGCAATCGCCCATCGGCTGAGTCTATCACGGTTGGTTTCATTGTTGGCGATTTTTTTGGGCGATTTTTGTCATTTTATTTTGCTAAATTAATGGTCTGTCTCCACAGAATTCAACTCGGTACATATAGTCCATAATTACTATGTAGAGCACAATTCAAAGTATGTGCGTATTGGAACTGGCAGCTTCACACTGATTTCCGACGAGTCTTTCACAAAACACGTCAGTGATGGCGGAGCTGAAAGTTACGGCCGGGGTCCACCAGACACATCAGCGGCGCGACACATCTGCAGCACGAGTCCCATAGCAGCTCGCCCCCCTGTTAATCAATTACAGCGGCTCCACCAGCAATGGGAGCGGCGCGACAACCCCTGTCTGACAACTCTCTATTTTAGGATGCTCTATTTTTGTCGCACTACGCTCCCCTACGCGACCCTCCAGCAGATAAAAACTACATGAAATAGTGTGCTAAACAAGCACAGTGTGTTTTTAAATGAATAAACCATTATCAGAGGTGATATGTGATGATTTTTTTTCATGCATTTACCCATGTTTATCCGTGACATTGTGTAAATGTCCGTGGCGGACATTTGAAAGCGAGTAGATGACAAACTGTACAGTAAACTTGTAGATAACTCAAATATATGTAATAACTTAGGTGGAAAATGCTTTAACTATCATGGCTCAGCAAACGGTAAACAAGACGCTTGACGTGACGCTTACGTTTGCAGCCGGTGAAACCCGGCCATAACGTTAATTCATAAACCATATTTGAGAACTACATCAAAAAAGATGTGCAGTTGTGCAAACAGTTGGTCGGTCTACAAAAGTTACACAGTAACAGTAGCCTGTGATAACAAATAAGTAAATATAAATGAAGGACATTGGAAAAATAAAGTGCAAAAATCACACAATCACATAAAATAATGATGTCCACTCCCTTTGCACTGTCTTTATAATAATGCCATTGCGGACGTGGCAAAAAAAAAACTTAAGCTGTTATAGCTGTTCTCAAAGCCTCTCGTAGGCTTATTGCTTGAATAAATAAATACAAATAATAATAAATATAGGCTGAACAAAGAACAATGGAAAAATAAAGTGCAAAAATTACATAAAATAATAAAGTCCCTTTGCGCTGTCTTTAACGCAAAAACACAGTGTTTTACATGTTTTTGGAGAGGAAAACGAGCATGTTAACCTTAACTGGCTTAAGCAAAGTGCGCATATGGTTAACAATGTTACCAGCCGTGCTAAACACCCTCTCTGATGGCGTGCTTGTTGCCGATATGCACAGATATTTCCGTGCCATGTTGGACAAAGCATGCTGCATTTTTTTGCTGTATCGGGAGATCCGAGTTGCCGAGCTGTTTTTCTGACTTGAGGTGGCGTTCATGTGAATGATCCCATTCTGAAAGTCATTTTTCGATTCTTTCCGACATCACATGAATGCAACATTCCCCCTCTTTTTTTTTTCTCCGCCACACACACAACTGCCGAATATATCGGCAACCGCCGGTTGATGGGCTGACAGTGGCCGGTTGGAAATTTTTAACATATTGCCCAACCCTAAAGCGTACTATTATGCAGCAGGAGCAATCTCCTTAATAGCACACTCTTGCGCCTCTGTTGCTGGATGTGGTTGAGTAGCGTTAGTTGTATGATACAGCCACAAAATGCTGATATGCTGCTAAATAGCAGCAGTATTTTGTTTAGGTCCATCCTCAAATCGTCTCTCGCACACACTGGATCGAGTAATAACACAGCTGTTTTCTGTTTACGTCTCACACTGTGATGTCATACAATGGAGACGAGACAAAATTACTCCGGTTATCCTGTTCACACATGACTGCTGACACTGGACCTTTCCAAAAAGTTCACCCTGGACTCCGGTTACAAATAACTCCAGTTACAGGGCCCAAAACTGCGGTTACATGTGGATGAAAGGCCAAACCTTGAGCAAAGAGTCACGGTTTTATAAATACCCATGTTGGTGTGGACAGCCCCTTAATCAAGGCTTAAACTTTAAGCATATTTAAAGGTGGGGCTGCTTGAGTGCCAGGCTGTCTGTGAGGCACTGCTACAGTTTATGAGTCAGATGCACCACTCATTTCTCCACAGCTCCACCCTTTCCTCAAAATATGGTCACTTCCGACTCCAAAAAGCCAAAATAAAATGGCCACTTCAGACTTCAAAACGGCAGTCCACAAACCAATGACACATTAGCTATATACATTGTTTTATATAGTCTATGTCAGACAGTCAGCTAGATGTGACCTTAGTTAGGAAAGAAAATATGGGTAATTTCCAAAGACTGGAGTTCACTCTGTAATATTTGAACTGTAAGCACGTAAGTGTTGGGATAAGGCTGTGTTTATATGGCTGAAGCTGTGTCTAGTGTTAAAAGTGTCGAGGCTTGTGGTTGTGGGAATCTAACTGAGCTTTGTATTTTAGGCTGAATTCAACTGAACATTTGATTTGTCTGGTTGAATACTGATAATCCGCAAACACACTTTATCCTGCTTGTAATCCAGATCCATGCTGATAGAGACTAAATTATGGCACTCAGGATTTTTACATCACATCCACTGCTGTTCAGAGAGATGCAAGAATAAAGAGTTTAAAATGCAGGATATTCAGGAGAGACAGATGGACACAGAGAAAATGAGCATGTGGAAAAGAGAGGCACACAGCTCTTGTTTTAATTAATCCTCAGACAGACATGAAAGAGGAGGGAGGGGGGCATTTTATTAGTCCTTCCTAATGTGATCTTCATCCACTGTAGTTTGGAGAATCTCTTAATCCGATAGTATTGCACCTACAGTTCTTAAACCCTGGGCTTAGATTTACTGTAATATCCGCACACATGATAAATCTCTTTAACACCTACAAACACGATTGCTGTTGCAAATGTCTCTGGGTGTGTTTGCCCTTTTAGCTGGAAGAAACACAACAAATGAGGAGCTGGAGAGCATGTTGGAGAGCGACAACCCGGCTATCTTTACCTCGGGGGTAAGCGATGCAATAGATGCAAAATAGATACAACATAGATGCACACAACGCATACTTTTAATCTAATTCTACTCCTCTCTTGACCCTCTCCATCTGTTAGATCATTATGGACAACATCACCGAGCAAGCCATGAATGAGATCGAGACGCGGCACAATGAGATCATCAAGCTGGAAAACAGTATCAGAGAGCTTCACGACATGTTCATGGACATGGCCATGCTGGTGGAGAGCCAGGTGAAAACATCGATCCTCTCTCAGCCCCTACAGATGTGCCAAATGCATGTGTAAACAAACCTGAAAATACGGTCATAAATTGGCAATCCATCTGCCACCATGAACGCTATAATGAAGAGTCCAGTTTGTAGATTTAGTATTTCTTCCTGTCAGTGGTTTGAAAATGTGCCTTGGCAAATGCTCAAGTTCAGCAGCACACTGTGCTCACAGTGGTAAAATCATTAACCAGCTATCGTGCTGCACCAGCTGCTGCTTCTCTCTGTCATGAAAATAACTTGACTTTAGACAGACGGCAACTGCCAATCTTTTAATTTACATATGAGTTGTAGAGTGTATTAGTACAGACTTGGAAGGAGGTTGTGTGTTTTTTTTTTTGCTCCATCTGGTTGTCTGTTTGTTAAATATCTCAGTAAATTTAGACAGAATTGGGGGCATGGATAACTATTGGCGCAAAGATCAGTTGACTGGAGTTTGGTCGTAATCTTTATTTGGGGTTTCTGCCATTAGACCATTTTTAAAAATGTAATTATCATGCTGTGTTTATGAGCTGGAAGAAAAATCTGACATCCAGGACTTCAAAGTTGGCAACTGAACAGCGTTGCATTAACGTGTTGCTTTGCACAGGGGCTATGGCTTTGTAAGTTGCTGAAATGTATCATGTCCCTGTTGGAAGTTTAATTCAGTGAGAGAACAGAGATGCTGTATAGACTGGTATACACTGCACTGAGAAACTTGCATCATGCAGTGGGCAGTGAACACAACAATATAATTCAAAGCCACACGCATACATTATGCTCATGTGTAAGAGCTACCTTTGCTAGGTAAATCTGTAGGCCTTCCTGTATATGAGGCTGCATTAGTGTGTGGAATGAGCCCCCACAGAGATGAACTGGTTTTCCTCATTGGAAATACAGTCTGAATTACGCATAAGGAAATGTGAGCACATGCATAAGATAATATGCTGAATGACAAATATGAAAGTAAATTGTTGCATGCAAGTGATATGAATTGCAGCACAATGCAATAGCGGGCATAATTGTAGTGTGGGAATGATAATTGTTGAAATGTCTCATAATTGAGTAGTATTGTGTGTATTTGTGTTCACATACTCTTTCATTCTCTTGTCACGCCTATAAATGCTCCAAATGTAAATAATTCAATGGACTAACCCTTCTTTTAATAACGGAGTGCCACTTTTAAGATTATACTGTACTTGAGTCTGGTAATTTTCTCAGCTTTGCACTCTTGTTTCTCTTTCTTTCCCACACACTGTCACCACCACAATGACTCTGAGCTCTAGAGAACAGAGAACGGCGATCCCCTTCTAATACAGAAAGGTAATCCACCTGTGATTCCTTATTTTTTTAAAATTTATTTATATACTTAAATCATTATTGCCGTGCATGAAGACCCGTATGAGTGTTGGTTCTTTATCATTTAACAATCCTAGGTCAGTGCTAAATGTGCTTCTTGACAAATGCTGATTTAAACATGGTAATGACGTCTGCTGCTTTCATAAACTAAAGTGTTAGTAAGAAGGAGCGTGTGGATAGGTATATGAAAAGAGGAAGACAAAAGAGCACTTGGTATCTTTTTCAAAGCCCACACAATACAACACACTCTATGATGCTCATATAATAAGCATAAGATTAGAATTACTTAAAGAAGCTGTGTGAAGGATTTAGTGGCATCTAGAGGACCTCAGATTACAACCACCTGTAACTTCTCCCATGTGGCAAGCATGAACTTCCAGTTAGGATTCCTTCAGTTTTCATAGTTCAGGAGGTTTTTACCGGGAGTTGAATTATCCGCAGAGGTCTCTTCCTCTCAAAAACAGATTGACCAGGTGATTAAAGGGCCAGTGTGTAATATTTGGCATGGTTTATTGTCAATCTGAATCTGAATCTGAATATTCTACCCATTAATATGTTTATACAAGTGTATAATCGCTATAAAATAAAATTTGTTTGGTTTTCGTAGCCTTATAATTATGCTTTTATATATATATATATAGCAAGGGCCTTGCTTTAGAGAGGTCGCCATCTTGCGCCGCCATGTATGTACGGCAGACCGAGCTGACAATCCAGCCAGCCAGAGAACGCGTTTCGCGTGTATAAATAAACCAACAAAGAAGACAGCGGAAGGAAGGAAGGAGGAGGAGGAAACAGCAGAGAGTGTTAGTAGTTCGTCGATAGAGAGTAGTGAAAAGTTTTTTTAGTTATAAAGTTTGCGAATGGACCACACTTACCACGCAACAGGAGAGAATGAACCCGAACCGTCATCTGCGAGGAAAAGAAGACGTAACTTCACTCCTTGTGATGCACTCACTGCGGCGCTTTTCCTCCTGATGATATATCTCCCCAATGATGGCAGCAGTAGCACTGAATCCCATTCTGTGCATTCAGCCTCTCTTCTCGCCCACTCAGCATCAAACACATGGAGTTCCTCATCTGTGTGCTCCGGCTCAAACAGGTATGGCTCTGGGTCTGTGTCCGCTACAAGAAACTCTTCAATATCGCGTTCAAAGTTGTCCATTGCAGCTACTATAGTCCGGAGATATTGCTAGGCTAAATAAACAGCTGAGCTCACCCATTTTACACACTGGCCCTTTAAAACCAGTAAAAACACTGGATAAAGCAGTTTCATGTGAATCTACTAAAAATATCAGTGTTTCTCTGATGCTGTTTGGCTGCTCACCGGCTGCTACCACAGCACCTGCTAATGTGTGCTGACTATTTTTCTCTCTGATAACTTAAGATGCTGGAGGCTTTTACCGGGAGCCAAATTATCCACAGAGGTCTCTTCCACCAACAAAGCAAACAGGCTCAATGATTTAAACACTGAATGAAGCAGTTTAACTTAAAAAAAAGTGGAGTGAAAAATAAGTGTTCGGATCATTACGGAGGGGCCGCTAACTATGGTAGCCAACGCAAAAACGCGACTACCCCTATCAAGAGTCAGTGTTTACTTTGTCACTTCTGGGCTACTGTAGAAACATTGTGGTGCAGCATCATGGTGGACTCTGTGGATGAGCTTCCGCTCCCTATGTAGATATAAATGGCTCATCCTAAGGTAACAAAAAGACAACGGTTCTTATTTTCAGGTGAATACACTAAAGAAAACATACTTATTATTTTATATTCCATTTATGCCAATGTATAACCCTACACACTGGACCTTTAAATCACATCTGTGAAAGTCTTGATGTGGTGTCAAATATGAGCTCCCAACACAACTAAAATGACATTGTCTCTTGTCTTTCATTCAGGGTGCACTGGTGAACAACATTGAGCGAAGTGTGCTGGCCGCCCATGAATATGTGGAGCAGACAAAGGAGAACATCCCAAAATGCAAAAAGTTCAAAAAGACTGGCAAACGGGTGAGATGCAAGATGCACACGTTCTACCAACTGACTCATTATGTCCTCTTTTTTTTCCCTCTTTCCTTTCTCCTTTTCTGCTTCCCATCCCATTATTCCTCCCCTTCCTCTCACCTCCTCTCCATCTGTATCCACCCCTCCTCCTGCCTTCACATCTGGCTCCCACTTTCTTCTTCTTGTCTGCATGTTTTCCATACCTCCTCTGTAACTAACCTCTCCTAGGGGGAAATGATAGACCGCATAGAGTACAATGTGGAGCACTCAGTAGACTATGTGGAGAGGGCAGTATCAGACACTAAGAAGGCGGTTAAATACCAGAGTAAAGCCCGGAGGGTGAGTCACATGTACAGCAAAACAGTGCATGTGCACATGCATGCTATCGCATGATGAAGTGATAGAGAACTTCATTAATGTTGTACATATATATATATTGTAGTGTGTAACTGTCGTCGGTTTATGTGTGCATGTACTCTGCATGTGGAGCATGTGTGTCGTGAGTGTATTTGACATGTTCTACAGCAGGGATTTCAAACCACGTGTGTATATAACTCAGGTTTACCAGAGTATTTATCTAAAAAACAAACAAAAAAACACCTGAACATTACCTGCTGCCGAGAATTCAAGAAATATAAGAATGTCAGACAGGCCAATTTAGATACTAATAGTAATGGCACATTCTTGAATAACGTGTTCTACAGCAAGTACAAGTAGTACAAATGTAAATCCAGTTCTCTTACTACATTCATAAACTGTACAAAATGTTGTTTTTTAAACTAAAGTTTTTGTACTTGATTTTAGTATCTTCAGCTCCTGGGTCCAGCTTCTCATTGACTGTACATGAGAGTGATATCCAGGGTTGGGCTCGTGTGAAAATCTTTTGAACCGGTTTGACATTAAGCCAAACGGCACCTTTAGACTGCAGTGGTATTGTGAATTTTACCACTAGGTGTCACACTTGACTCAGCAGCAGCTTCCGAATGGAACACAACCACATCGTATCCCAACAGCAAATGAGCGTCCAACTATCATGTTGCATTGTGTAACATTGGCACTCTCTGTCAACATTAATTAGTTGGCAAGAACTTAAGGGTTAACTCTGGGTTTTCAGTACTGCAAAGCTTGTTCTCTTTTTACCTGGATAAATCACCAAAGCAATTTATGCAGAACAGCTACCCTGCTCTGGAGCAGGTTAACTTCAGGGTATTGGCTCACAGCCTGTAAACACCCTGACGTGTGACCAGTCAGATCACTGAAATAAAATTATCCATGGACAAAATTCCAGAGTCTCAGGTAAAAAAGAGTAGTCTATACTATATATTATTATAGGTCAGTAGAATGAGTTCATTGTTCCAGGGCTCTATTTCCACTGGTTTTGAAACAGAGCTTTTAATAAACATGGAGATCGTTTACAACACTTAACACATGACTTAGCCAGATTGAACTTGTGCAAAGTTAACTTCAGTCTGCACTGATTGCTGACAGACCTCATCAGTCATTAACAAGGCTACTTTTCCACCCTTTACTTAAGTAGCAGAAACAGTCTGGCATCACTTTAAAGTGTTTTATGTGACATATTCAGAGTAGTTTCATTATCATCCAACTGAACAGTAAAAAATACTCTATACTTATATTACAAATAGCCCAGTGATACCTGCACATAATTTAAATCTGTTTTTTCAATGTTTACACATTTTTTGTTATAAAATTACAGAGCATTATTTACATCCCACGCCATTGACATTACACTGTCTGGCAGTCGCAGACACTTTCGGTACCCTTTCATCTCATATCATATGAAGCAGCCTACTTCATTCATGGCTCTGATGATGTCACTCGTAATTAACAGCCCCGCCTCTTTCACATGTATATGCTTGTGGCTGGATAGGGAACCCAGAGTTGACTGAACTAGTTGATACTCAGCTTTGTAGTACCGGTTATCCAGACAGCCAGTGTTAGGGTTAGTCATGCCAGATAGTGAGAAGATATCATGGGTAAGTTGAACTGGCTTTGTAGTACAGGCGTCTGATCAGACTGGAGACATAACCACATCAATCACAACCACTTGATGTTTCGGCCTTTCGGCCTTCTTCTGCTTGTTGATCTTGAAAAAGGCCCAAAGGCCGAAACATCATCTAAATAAAATTAATGCATATGGAGTGTGCAACACTTGGTTTCTACAATCATATTTACTGGGGATGACATACAATATAGCCAACAACAAATAGCCTGGCTTGTTATTAGCCTTACCGTACAAGAAAATCTCAGCTCCTTGGCGATCTCCCTCCAGCCAGCTGCCACCTTATTTTGGTTTTTGTAGTGACACATAGAGGTACTGGGTAGATAATTCCTCAATTTAATTATATGAATCAGCCATTCCTCAGCCATAATGGCACTTTCAAAGTGAGCAACAGAAATAAATAGAAACAGGGTGTCTGACACAGTGGTTCACCATGTAGCTTGTGGTTAGGTAGGACACCTCTTTCATCGGCTTCACATCCAAAATGTTGCCATATATGCACAGGGTTTTTTTTTCCGAGAGGGACTCTCTGCCATGTCCCCTCTCATCACCTCAAAATACACATGAACTTTCTAGTAAAAAACACAACATGTGTCACTCCTCCCCCTCTCCCGCCTCGACTGACATATTAACTCCCTCATGGTGCCGTGCAGTCTGTGCAGTCCAACATGTCTCTGTGCTCTGTGTTAGTCACCAGTGGCTCCATTAGTCTTTTTATAAACATATAAACATAATATTATGTTAATCACATTGTCATATTGCTCATTACTCATGCAGTACAAGTTGGATTTAGCACAGTGATGCTGTTGGCGCAAGCTGCTGATGGAGGCTACCTAATTTGCCAGAATATGTCATAATGACAAAATGTCAGTTCAGCTGGTTTGCATAAATCAAACTGGTTTAAGCTCGTACACCAGACCATACCAGCAAAACCAGCGAGCAAATACTATGCTCCCTGTCATTAACACTTGAATTCATTTAAGAATTGATGGAGACTGTTGAGGAAAAAGAGCCAAAGCCGAAACATCAACAATTCCTGGATCACTATGTTTTGTGCCAGCCTTAACTATCAAATTGTGAATAGTGTTAGATTAACATCCACATATTTGGAACACCGCAAGTGGTGTCGATGAAGGGGCACTTGAGCTCATCTGACCGGGCTGCAGGGGTACGGCAGACCAAAACATCTGGGAACAACTGGTCAGGGTTACCATCATTCCTTCATTTAACAACCTGCCCCACAGTGGAACACCTCTGCCACCTCTTGGTTAATATCTACAATAGCACTCAAAAGTAGAGGAATTTCATTCATGACATGACACCAACTCAACATAATTATGTCCCCCACTTAGAATCAAAGACTGTGCACCTCAGAAATGTCTTTCTTTTTCTTCCTTTCTTCCTTTTTCTTCTGTTTCTCATTCTTTCTCCCTCTACATCCACTGAATCATTATCTGACACTCTGCCCTCCTTGTTTCCCCTCCCATTTCCCCCATCCAGAAGGTGATCCTGATAGGAGGTTGTATTGCAGCATGTCTGACCGTCCTCATTATTTCCCTCGCAGTTGGACTCAGTTAGGACTCTAAGAAATCCCTAAGAGCTGACAGGGCAGGAAGTGATGCCTCCTCCTGTGGGTCTAATGTTCGGCAGTTAAAATGTACTGTATAGTGGGCTCTGTATTGTGCAGTCAGTAACTGCGTGTGAAGTAAGAAGAAGGCTTACATTACTACCCTAAAGACAGTCTGACATGGTTCTGTGCACTCAAATATCTTACATTTACTTTTACATATATTTTTTAATACATACATTTTTCTAAACTAACAGCCAAATACTTTGACGAGCTAACGTGTGCCTTGTGTCCATTTGTGTCATGATTCACATATTGTTGTCATGCGCATGTTCTGCAGTCTTCTGAGGAGCTTTGCATGTTTTTACAAAAACAAAGCTGCAGATACTAAGTGGTTATATTAATCAAAATGCATGTGTTGAATTGAAAAACGAAAGTGCATATACCTCAGCAAAGTTCATGAACAGTCAGCTTCATATACTTACAGATGTGTCCAACATTGAGAACCCTGAAAAAAGTTTTTGAGTCCATGATCAAGGTTCAAAAATATAAATGTTTCCTTCTTTTTTCTTTGTTTTAAAGATATATTTTTTTTTGGCTTTTTTGCCTTTAATTTATGGGAAAGCTAAGTGTGAAGGGGGAGAGAGAGACAGAGAGAGAGAGAGAGCAGCAAAGGGCCACGGGCTGGAGTCGAGCCCGGCCCGTTGCAGCTACAGACTTGTACATGGGGCGCCTGCTCTATCCACCAAGCCACCAATGCTCCTATAAATGTTTCCTTTTTTGAAGCATTCAAGGAATATTTTTACCATATGGGAAATAAACATGAGTTATGAGTGACATCTGATTTCACACACATACAAAATGAACTTTTCTAGGCTTTGGCAAAGTTTTACAAATATAAAACCATCCATCTATCCATTATATGTAACCACGTGTCATATTCAGGGCTGGAGCCTAGCCAAGGTACTTGTAAACGTTCTTTGTTGCCTGTGGGCAGAGCCCGGCTTGCTGTTTCCCCTACTTTCCCTCCTATTTTTTATGCTAAGTTAAGCTCACCAGCTTCTTATGTACTGCAGATGAGAGTGGTATTAATCCTCTAAACTAATTATTATCTGAAAATGAGTAAGCGTGTGTCCAAAACTATTCCTTTAAGAACTGGAGACTAATTCCTCAGGGTTTAAATGATGGACATTGGCTGTTTATGAATGTTGAGGCATGTGTGCTTAAATGACATATTTTATGATTTAACTTTGCTTTAAAGTCACTGTGTGGATTTTTACAGAAAACTGAAACGACCTCAGTAAACACTGGCTCAGTCTGTAGTCTGCTTATTTCAGAAGGTAGCTTCATGCATCCTTAGCTACCACTAGATGGCGCCAAACTTTAGCATTTCCATTATCTACACATTGTGGCTTTAAATATAATGATTCATGTTTGTGGCATGTATGAACACACTGTGTTGTGTTTAATGTGTTATGAACAAAATGCAGGAGCCAAAGATTAATGATTTTTTAAAGTAGAGCATGTGGAAATGCCTCTAAACCACAGTGACACTCCAACATTATCAGATATATTCAAATCAAATAGTCTCTCTCCTGCATTGTGTTCATCTGCTCTTTTTCTGATTATTATACAAATTGTAATGTGTTAAAATAAAATACAACTTACATCTCTAACATGTTTTCCTTTGCCCCCCATTTGCTGCTATGGATGACTGTTAAACTGTTCTTGTTACCGCTTACAGAAGAAAATTATGATTATTATATGCTGTGTGGTTCTGGGAATCGTCATTGCTTCCATTGTTGGAGGAACGCTGGGCTAAACCTCAACCACAGTCACACTTTAAGACACACAGCTGCACACACAACAGAGCAAAAACACAACAGATTGACATTTTCAGTTTCCTGTTTTCATGAATGCAATTTAGTGCAAGGGGTGTTATTTACTGTACGACACATTTGATGCGTGGCGTACAGGGCAAAAGGTGTTTTCGCATGAGTTGCTATTTTGTAAATGTGTGGTGCTGCAAACTGTTTATCTGAGTGTTGTCAATGATATGATGTTTCCAAAAGTGAATTGTTGAATGAAAAAAGTTTTACTAAATGATATGTAACACTATACTAATACATTCCAACTTCCAAATATGACACTTAATCAGTTGTAATGCCTGTTTTGTGTTGTACAGACAAAGACGGGCCGCTAGTCTGTGTTTTCAAAGCCACGTTATCTGTAGACCCTTTGTTTAATCACATCTTGATTGACTTTATCTTTTCGTCTGATGTTCTCTCTCTGATGTCCTCTACCTCCCTCCAACAGCCCTGCATGGTTTAGTTCACTGTAAAGTGGTGTTTTGTTTTCTGTTGCAAATGAGAAAGAAGACACGTTGGATATTTTGCTGGTAGAATCATCATACTGCCAAATTTTTCTAATGTTATCCCTTATAGTTTTTGGGAAGCAATGCTACTGTACTTAACTTCTGGCCTTACCAGTTGTACAGCATTTCTGATCGTTGCTCCAGTGTTGAGTGTGTGCATGTGAAAGAGGATATGTGTGTGTGTGTTCATTTGTAGCTACATGTTTGAATGTGCTGAGTGCGAGTCGTGGGATGAGAACATGAGGTCTTGTTAATAGCCACCTGTGTCTTTGTTTTGTATAAAGTGTAAACTGATATAAAGCTCTCTAACACTGCCAGTATGTTCAAATAAGCTGTTAAAATGGAGTCTAGTCTGGTTGGATTGATAATTCTGGTCTGTAAGTGAAAACACTTGCTGATGTTTCATGTCTTTTATAAACCCCAGCTTTAAACAGAGCATATCCTTCTGTCGAGCTACTTCAATGTTTATTTTTATGAGTGAACATGAGTCAGTGAAAGCGTCAGCATGAACTCAAAGTAGCGCTGTAAAAGACTCTCATGTCAGTTTTCTGGTGACATATCGGACATGAACAGACTGTAACCATGTTACCATGTTGCCTACTCATATAGTTGCCTTTGTGTTGTATTGTGATAACATGGTTTTGTTTGTTTAATTTGAGTTTCTTTTTGTTTTGATTTTTCAAGTAAAGTTTGTCTGAAAATCACAGTGGAGTTTGTGCATTTCTTTGCTTGTGTGAATTATCAGAGACCTAATGCTTCTGTAATTATTGTATTTTTCATTCTGATTCTTCTCATAAGTGTGACTGTCCTTACTATGAGTCTTACTAACTCTTACTGCACTCGTCACCACTGTTGTAGGGATTAAGGAAAAGTCACTCTGGCCAAACGCTGTGTATCGCTACAGCCAACATGAAAGTCCAAAAGTGTGTGTGTGTGGGTGTTTATGACAACAAGACAATCTTTACTTTCAGGTGACATTATGAGTAACTGTTTACTTATTTTCTCTTTATCTTTTATTTATCTCCAAAGTTCAGTGAAGCTTCAGTGAAGTGAAATTATTCATGACTGCATCACTGATTCCTCTTCAAAAACTGCTTCAGTTTGAGTTTAAAGTGATCGAGATCAGGATCCAGTATAAGTTCTGAAGATAAAGAACTCCAAATTTTAATTCCACGGACAGAAAAAGCTGTGGATTTACACAGGGGAACCTTACAATTCCCATTGGCTGCTCCACGTGTTATTGAGCCAGAAGCTCTCAGTGGAACCATAAGTTCACTGAGCACCTGGGGAGCCTTATTATTTAAGCATTTTTGGATGAGTTTGAAATTGGCAGAATTATTGAAATAATCAAAACTTAGTATATTTAGTTTCCGAAGAACATGGCAATGATGTGCTTTCACTGATTTCCTGTTCAAAATTTTAATGGCTGGATTATATACCATCATAAGAGGCTTTATTTTTGTAGATGTCGCTTGTGACCAAGAGGTTACACAGTAACTTAAATGTGAAAAAAATCATAGCATGCACAAAACTGTTTGCAGCGTGAAATGGGAGACAGTCCCTGATAAGTCTAAATGTACGGAAGTTTGCTTTTGCAACCCTGCTCACCATCTTAACATGCTTCTCGAATTTTAGTTGTGAATCTAATATGAGGCCGAGGTATTTTACCTGACCTGTTTGATATTTTGTCCATTAATATTTAGATTTAACACACTAGCTTCTGTTGATGAGCGAACACTGGCAGAGAAGCAAACTTGCACCGTTTTGTTAATATTAAGTGAGAGATGTGACTTTTCAAACTATGCTGCAATGGACTGTAAACGACATAACAGCTATCTGGAAGCTGCCAGAGATGTTTTCGCAGATACATGTATGACTGTATCATCCCCATACACCTGAAAACCTGCTCCAACATATGATTGTGGTAAGTCATTAACATATAAGCTAAAAAAGAGCGGACCAAGAACAGAACCCTGAGGTACTCCTGTACTAGTCTGTGGGAAATATTTCTCATCATTAATGATAACGCACTGTTATCAGTGTTAACAACAGCAGCTAGCAAAAGCCTCAGCTGGGAGCAGCAGCAGAAGCAAACAGAATTCAGTTCTTTCAGGTTTAAAATTATCATCAATGTATTGTTAAATTTTTTTTGTTTGTTTTTTGCTAATTCACCAATTACTACAAGGACAAAGCAGCTACCCCATCGACATACCAGCCCAGATCAATGTCCTGTATTCAAAGAAAAAATAAGTAAAATAACTATTATCCACAAAAATACTTAATGTATTAAAAATAAGAAGTGCTCGTTACGCAGGAAAATTAATTGAAGAGCCTCCTTCAGGACATATATTCACAGAAGCCTCTCATCATTAACTTAGTCAAGAATTTGACCGACATTAGCTGTAAAGTATTTTAGAAAGACAGTGGCACAATTTCCCAGAATTGAACAGCTGTCACTCAGACCTTCCACCCACTCAAAAGTCTAAAGTATGATGTTTTGTAATAACGTTTGTTTGTAATTGATCCTTTTAGTTGAAGATTAATTTTATGTTATACATTGATTAGATGTAATCTAGATCACATTGTATTCATCAGTCGAATGAGAATCAAGTCTGTATTACAATATATTATTTTAACAAATACACACATGTATTACCATAGGCGGTTACTGAAAAAAAAAGAAAAAAGATGAGTATGTACTTGAGGTCACATTATTAAAAGTGTTTCAAAACCTGCTGCCTGTTTGCTGTCCTTGTCTGAACAATGATTGACTAAAAATAGATTGAGCCGTCCTATTTATTTTTCTGAAATGCTAAAGGAGCGCAGTCACATCCCAGGAGGTACCTCGGTGACTTTGTCGATTGTGAGCTGCCTCATCATGGACCTGTGCAAACTAGCTTTGCTCCTGGGAGCCCTAACCTGCACTGGTAAGATATAATGGTACCTTTGAATGATAATTACGAGTAGTTCACAATAATTTAAGTGCCCTAAATTATAAATAAAAGTAAGACAGACATTACTTTGCTTCACTGTGAGAGCACCTCATCAGGACAACCTTGTCCACATTGATAATATATGCCCTTTAAATACTATTTTCATCATTGAATCAAGTCAGGATGTATTATGAGATGGGTAGGAATGCACATCAAACTAACTGATTTAATTCTGTCTTTTTTTTTTTTTCAGAAATATATTTAGAGTACTAGCTGTAAAATGTTTTGCTAAGCTGTTTTCAACAAAGCGGCTGGGTCACAAACTTTAACATTTTACAGCTGAGCTGTATTAAAACATGTTTCTGATAACATATAAGATGAGAAATAGGCGATGCAGTAACAGAATCTTGAGACATATTTGATCAGCGCTGCCTAGTTTGATAGCTTACCACAGTTTACGTGCAGTGATTAACATAATTAACAGCTGCTTTCTCCGAAAACAGCCTGTGATTGACCAAAGTCTTCCGTCATGGTCTAGATTTTCTCAAACCTGAAAACAGAGCCAAGTGAAGATGCGCACATCTAGTGTTCTTTCAGACCACTTGAACTGCAATTAAACTTTATAAGGGGATTTTTGCCCAGTGATGCCAGAATTAAGGCATCACTGCCTATGCAAGCTTGAATGCTAAAAATGTACTGTATATTTGACAATGAATTAATAGTTTTGTCCCTGATTCCAGCAAGTGGTACTGAGGTGGATGGCTACACCAAAATAATGGGAGCACAGATCCTCTCGTTGCAGAGAAGACAGTACTCAGTTAACAACGTGACTGAATGTGCCGCCAAATGTGACATTGAAACATCCTTCACATGCAGGTAAGTTCACACCTTTAAAATCCAATTTTTACCTTAACATCTAACTTTTAGATTCAAAGCTAAGCATTCTGACTCGACACCTGCTGTGTTTTCACAGGTCTTTCACATATAATCAAAGGGATGACGGGTGTTGGACAGCACCGGACAACTCTAAAACACTGATGGCTCAGCGCGGAAAAAGCACAGTGTTGTATGAAAAAAAAGGCAAGTCTTTTGTCTTTTCATCTACATAAACAGCCCAAAGTCTTTTCTACAACAGTGCACATACTGTTCATCAGTGTAGATTCTTCTTGAAATTTAGCCTCCATCACATTGTCGTTAATATTTAGCCTATATGATGCATGATCAGTGATGTTTGGAGTGTGTCCTCAGGGCTCTATCTTTTTCAGTAACACTTTACTTGAAGGTATCTACATAAGAGTGACATGACACTGTCATAACTATGAAATGACACTGTCATGAACTTGTCATAAACATTATGTACGTGCCATAAACGTTTATGACTGCTGTCATTAAGTGTCATTCAATTTTTGTAATGACAAGCTGACATTGTTAGGGTTTTCTTGATTATGACAACATGACATTAATCAAAGTGACATTACCAGAAGATTGTCATGACAGTAATAATCATAAAACTTATCAAAAACACAAAAAGAGGTGCATTTCTTGTTAATGTCAGTTGTCATGACAAAGACAACTTCTGGTAATGTCACTTTGATTAATGTCAAGTTGTCATAACAAAAACCGAATGACACTTAATGACAGCAGTCATAAACGTTTATGGCATGTACATAATGTTCATGACAGGTTCATGACCGTGTCATGTCATAGTTATGACAGTGTCATGTCACTCTTATGTAGATACCTTCAAGTAAGGTGTTACCTGTTTTTCTTCAGGGTTTTATGTGAAAGTATAACAAAATCTAAGCATGAAATCAATGAGTCATGCCCTCAGATTGAAACAAGATCCTCCTGAAAAAGATTAATTCAGTGCCTGTTTAAAACATGCTCATTTGTAACAGGCCAACTGCTTGGCCTCTGGTAATGCTGCTTGTAGCTTTATGGAGAACAGCTCATACAAACAACTTCACACTTGACACTGCGCTTCCTTGAGCCCTGAGCAATACACCTGGGCTCCAAACAGCTAGAGATTTATTATGATGTTTACATATAATGCACCCAGATGCAGAACACAGGCACAGAGCAACATTTGGTAACAACCTTTATTTATCCACAGAGTAAACGTCGTTAACTAAAGCCTGACAGATGGTGGCAGCGTTGGTCAGCCGAAGGTCATCACCAGATACTCTCAGTGATCAGTCAGGGACAGGCATTGAAAGCTGTCTTCTATTCGTCCCCCTCACGGATGCTGACCAGGTGCTAGGTGTTGCACAGGTTGAGCTGTGACACACAATGGAAGTAGGTGAAGACATGTTCGACTGAGTCCAAGCCTCCACGGTTATAAAGCAGAGCATGGATTTATTTAGCGGCTACTTGCAGTTAGAAACACCAGTGAAATACACTTTTGCTCGATTCAGTCCGCAGAGCCCTGAAGCCCCGCCCTCACTGCTGCACAGAGCCATTGAACTGGTTGCTTGTTTATTCAAAGTTTATGAATATTGTCAACAAACTTGTCAACAAGCATTCCGCCTAAATAGCAAGTTGATTTTATTGAATGATCAAACATGCAAAGCTGAAAATGTGCTTTGGTGTATATTTTTTTTTTGTGCAGTGTACATCCCGGAGTGTACATTTGGAACAGGAATGTATTACAGAGGAACAAAGTCCAAAACAAGAACAGGAAAGACGTGTCAGAGTTGGGCAGCAAAATACCCACACATACCTAAGTATGTATTCATGCAACATCATGTCAGTTTACACATCACATCGTATCC